TCGCTCGGGTACCGGGGCTGCCCGGGCCTCCCCTGACCACGGGTGTCCTCGCCCCCTCCATACGGGTGCCCTCACCCCCATGCCCACAAATATCCTTGCCCCCATCCCCACGCATGTCCTCACCCTATCTCTACAGCAGCTCTCCTCTCCCCCTCCCCATAGCAGCTCTCCAGTCCCCCTCCCCATGGATATCCTCGCCCCATCCCCATGGGTGTCCTCCCCCCATCCCCATAGCTGCCTTCACCTCTATCCCCATAGCTGCCCTCATCTCCATCCTCGCAGCTCTCTTCTCTCCCCCGACTCACGTCCTCACCCCCTCCACACAGGTGTCCTCACCCCATCCCCATAGCAGCTCTCCTCTCCCCCTCCCCATGGATATCCTCGCCCACATCCCCACAGGTGTCCTCCCCCCATCCCCATAGCTGCCTTCCCCTCTATCCCCATAGCTGCCCTCATCTCCATCCTCGCAGCTCTCTTCTCTCCCCCCATGCATGTCCTCACCCCATCCCTGTATCTGTCCTCACCTCCATCCCCACAGGTATCCTCACTCCATCCCCACAGCTCTCTTCACCCCCACCCACGGGTGTTCTCACCCCATCCCCACGGGTGTCCTCACCCCATAGAATCATAGAATGGTTTAGGTTGGAAAGGACCTTGAAGATCATCTCATTCCAACCCCCCTGCCATAGACAGGGACACCTCCCACTAGACCAGGTTGCCCAAGGCCACGTCCAGCCTGGCCTTGAACACCTCTAGGGATGGGGCCTCAACAACCTCTCTGGGCAACCTGTTCCAGTGCCTCACCACTCTCATAGTGAAATCATCCCCAGCACCACCACCACCCTTGCTCTCATCCCCACAGCCGTCCTCGCCCCCTTCCCCACGGCCACCATCCTCACCACCCTTACACCCCACTCCCCACAGCTGCCCTCACCTCTCTCCCAGGGGCCACAGCCCCAAGGCTCATGATGGAGCCACAGCTCTGCTGCCTCTGCTCCGCTGGGCGGGTAGAAACCCCGCCAGGCTGCTTCCTCTCAGAAATCCCCTCCGGCTGGGCCGGGCATCACGAGGGCCCCCGGGGGAAGTGGTGCTGGACCAGCCTGCCCGGAGGTTGCACAAGCACCTCTGGGACGTGGCAGAACTGGGACGGCCGGGGATGGCCAGCTGCCACAGGGGAAACGACGTGGCGGTGAGCATCGGGACTCCTTACCATTGTGCCATGACTTTAATTTACAAAGTTAGAGCAAGTAAGGTCAGACTCATTAAACCTAAACTCATCACCTTTCAGAAGATGGGAGGATGATGCAGAAAGGAGCTAGAGGTCTGTGAAATGGCGAATGGAGAGGATGGTGGGGTGAACAGCGAACAACCAGTTGTTGTTCCCGAAGAACTTTACTCTGAAGCAACTGGGCAGGGAGTGTGACATGAAGCCAACAGGGATGAAACAGGTCTGGGCTAAGGACTTGGGGGGGCCCTGCTGGTGGGTTCCCAGCCCCAGGGCGAACAAATTCCTACCAGCCTGGCTTTTGCCCAAGCCAGTGGTCCTGGGCAGCAGGTTTGTGTGGTACCAGGAGTGATGGGGACCAGGACTTCAGCACAAGGGTGACCAGAGACCATCTGGAGAAGAAGCTGCAAGAGACACCCGTGCTTCCCTGCTGATATTTCTCTCCCCTCGGGGCTGCAGCAGTGGTTTTCGCAATAGCAATGATGGGAGTTCACCAAGGAAAAGCAAGACCACCAGGGATGTCTCTCACAAGTGCCTTCAGTGGCAGCGTGGAAGGGTGCAGGCAGGTCTCCAGGATGGCGGAGAGACACAGTTGTGGCTGAGAGCAGTCATGGATCACCTCCATGGGGTTCACTAGGGAACCCAGGGCAGAGCTGAGCCATGCCATAGGGTCAGAGGGACTAAGCGAGGCCGAGGGATGTACCTCTACCTGCTGCTTCTCTTACAAGGGATGGGGAAGAAGATGGTAGGAAAAAGCCAAACCCAACACAATCAGTGGATGGAGGAAGGATTTTCTCCCTCCACATCCTTTCCTCTGTTCAGGGTGGGAAAGTCATGCTGCGCTCCTGCAAAGGTAGGAAAATGTGCTACACCCTGTCCGTTTCATCTGATCCAGAGCAATCCCTGCTCCTACAGGGACTGCTCCTTTCCTTTCTTAGATACAGGTAAGGTGATGCTTAGCATAGACTTGTAGGACTTTTCTTTGTGCTCACACAAAGGGCGCAGACCCTCCTTTTTCTTAATTTCTAGAGGCTCCAGCCAAGCATTTGGAAACATACCCTTGCAGGTTTAAAATAAACATATTAATGGATTGCAAATGAAGGTTCCAGCTGAATATGTGCCAGTAGCTCCATGTCGTGCCTGTGATGCAGAGTTATTGTAAATGCAGTGCGGGTAGCTAATAAAAATGATCATTAAATTAACCCCAGCGCTTTCCCAGAGCTAAAGATGACACTTCTGGTTGATGCAGCATCTCTTCAAACAGCTGGAGGTTGCTGCATTCCCCATAGACTGCCTCAGAGAGAGCATCCTCCATCAAATACCTCGACAAAAAGTCCATCGTGCTTGTCTTCTGTAAGAGCCCAGCCCTAGCAGCGTCTGCATGAATATTTGGTGAAGAATCAGAGGTGAGAGCTTGTTGGAGAGCAGGAAGGAGCCCGTGATTTTAGAAAGGGAAGAATCTACAGCTACATGTGCAGGCTGGGAAAGGGGAGGACATATGGTGTGAGAGGAGTAAGAAAACATCTGTGGGTCACTGGGAGTCAGCGCTGGATTTGCAGGCAGAGGAGGAAAGCTTTGCTAACAAGGATTGAAGCCTTGTGGCTGACTGGCTGAGGCTTCAAAAACTGAGTGGTTGAGAGAGCGCATTTCCAAATGGAGATGAGAGCAGAGGGCACTGTCACTCTCTGTGAATGAAATGATGGGAGAGCAGATGCTGTAAGAGGAGGCTCTGTCTCAGCAGGGTGACAGGCACCAGAACCATTTAGAGCCTGAAAGGGCAGAAAAAAATACACCCACCATGTATCCCAGGGGGAGGATCAAACACCACAGCAGGCTTTGCCTCACCACAGTCAAGCTAAACCTGTGCTCGCCATCCAGGTTTCCCCCTGCTACCAGGGTGAGGCACAGAACCACGGTATGATTGGGGTGGGAAGGGACCTCTGGAGGTCTCTGGTCCAGCCTCCCACTCCCAACAGGATGTCAATCAGTTGCTCAGCTCCTTGTCCCATCCACAGTTGACTGTCTCCCGGGATGGAGATCACCCACCTCTCTGGGACCCCATTTTACTGTTTGATCCCTCTCACAGGGCAATTTCTTTTCCTAACAACTAATCAGAACTTTTCTCCTTGACACTTGCATTTGTTGCCTTTTAGACTATCCCTCTGCATATCTGGGAAGTGGCTGGCTCTGCCTGGTCTACACCCTTCCGTGAGGTAGTTGAAAGAAGCAAGGTCTCCATTTAGACTTCCCCCAAAGACTTGAACCCAGTTTCTCTCATCCTCTCCTCCTATGTCATGTGCCTGAGCTCCCTCAATCATCTTGGTGGCCTTCACTGGACTCGCTGCAGTGTATCGGTGTCTTTCCTGTATTTGGGAGTCTGAAACTGGACACAGTTCCAGGCCCAACACAGAGACCCACATGTTCTGGAACCCCTTCTCAAGATGGTCTGGGCTCTCTTCTGTCAGATCAGCACCCCAAGAGACAGGGCTCATGGTAATGGGATGGTAAAATAACGCGTAATTCATATGCTGGGACTTGAATTCAGGTTTTCTGAAGCTGTGAGACCTGAAAATCCTCTTTCTTTCAGAGAAAGAGATGGGAGCAGAAGAATGCCACCTTGCATCCTCCCAGGCTACCATCCTGCCTCCTACATTTGGGCAGCAGCCAGGGCACAGGAAAGGCTGTGAGATTGGGGCATACACACAGAGAATATTCTTTTGTACCTCAGAGACTTCTTGAACCAAAGGCAGTTCCTTGGTCCTGAATAAACCTCAAGAGATTGTCCTTCCACAGGTTTGTCCTGTGGAGTTTCTTAACCCCCATTGACATTGACCAGTCACAGCAGTGTGTGGAAGCAGCTTAGTGCCAAGCTGGGGGAGGAAGCATCTCCCTTTTACTGATTTTATCTCCTGCTAATTTCACTTGATGCCCCTGGTCTTGTTCCCTTTGTCCGTCACAGCTGTGTACACCTCAGTCATATGCACCCCAGTTGTTCCTTCCAGGCTAAAGAGTCCCAGCCTATGTAGTTACTCTTCATGCAGCAGCCAGTCTGGACCTCTGGTCACCCTTGCTGCCCTTCTGTGAGTTTTGGGGTTGTTTTTTTTCAGGTCTACTGTATTCTGTTTGAGATGGATTATTCCTGAGTGGCATTAGCCCATGCAGAGCCCCCTGCTGCCTATTGAAAATCAGTATTTTTGTTTCCCCTATGGATCATGTTACATTCATTTTATGCAATTTCATCTGCTATTTTACTGCCTGGTGAAGGTGAGATCTTCAGTGCGCCCTCTGGGACCGCCTTCTTTCCCCATATTTCCTAGGACTACATCCAAATGTCTTATGAGAT